GGGCCGGTGCCTAGTACAGTAGGTAGGGTATTTGCCTTTCACACGGCTCGCCTAGGTTTGTTCCTCAGCATCCCATACGGTCCCCTGAGTACTTCCAGGAGTAATTCCTGAGTGCAGAGCCAGGAGTAATCCCTGAGCACAGCCAGATATGCTCAAAACCACGCTCATACACATACATACAAAGGAAAACATTGTAGATCAGGGCTGAGTCCTATACTGTTTCTTTTACTTTGTTCTATACTAAGTTTCTTTTGGGCTGGGGAGTCCTTTCTCTTCTACTCTCCAATAAGCATATCTTTTCTATTAAAAAAAAAGTGGAGGGCTGAGTTCATGCCTCTGGGTGGGGAAGAGCCTGTCCACTTGGTGACGGCAGAGGGGTTCAGTTGGGAAGGCAGGACCTCTGTGGGAGAAAGGGGTCCCCTCAGACCTGCAGCTCAGATGCCTGTGTGCGTGCAATGTCCCTGAGTGGCATTGTGTGTGTGTGTGTGTGTGTGTGTTGTTCCTGGATGGCATATATGCATATTTGTTACCCAGTTGGCATGTGGATGTATGTGGTGCCCGAGTGGCACATGTATGTGTGTATGTGTGCATGGTGTCCCAGGTGGCACATGTGTGTATATGTGTATGTATACGTGCATGTGTTCCCAGTGGAACATGTGTGTCTGTGCATGAAGCCCAGGTGGCATGTGTGTGTATATGTGCATGGAATCCCAGGTGGTACATGTGTGTATATGTGCATGGTGTCCAAGGTGGCATTTGTATGTATTTGTGTGTGTAGATGTGCATGGTGTCCCAGGTGTCACATGTGTGTATATGTGCATATGGCCATGGAGTCCCAGGTGGCACGTGTGCACGTGTGCAGCCTCCCAGGCAGCACTTGAACATGAGTACGGCATCCCTGATCAGGCTTTCTCTGTCCTTTCTCCATCAGCTGCCTGGGTCTGAGCCCGGGCTTCTTCTCCAGCTTGGGTCATCTGTCTCAGCCACCGTGCAGCTCCTTCAGGGAGAGAGTGCAGCATTGGCAGTCCCCCCCAGAGGAGGCACCCAGGCCTGGCAGCTCGTGTTCATCTGCAGGGCTGAGTGCTGTGTGATGCCACAGGGACCTGCGGGCAGGGCAGGGCTGCCACTGTTGAAGAAGGAGGTTCGTGGTGGGAGGCAGTGCCCATGAGCTGGGGATGAGTGAGGGTGCCTGGCCAGGGGTGGATGCTGAAGCTCCTTCACCACTGTATCTGGACAGCCTCTGGAGGGGATGAGACCTTAGTGTCAGATTTTATAAGCTATTGAGTCTGTGGCTTGAGTACTGATGCCCTCTGGCAAGAGAGGGACGCCTTCCGAGCCATCTGACATGAACTGGTGATCAGGAAGGGCTTTCCAGAGGAGGGAATAACAAGTTGGTCACTGAAGGGTATATAGTAATTTATAAGGCTGAAAAATCAGAGAACATTCTAGGTAGAGAAGGTACAAGTACATATTGTCAGAGATTCTTCTTGTGCTTCTTCAGATTCCCATACTCTTGCCTTCCCTGTCCCAGAGGACCAGATGTTTCAACATCTGCTCCAGGATAATGATTTATTGAGAAGGCCCTGGTGAAGAAATGCCTCGTCCTGGCCAGCAGGGGGTGCTCACATAGCCATAGGAAAGAAGGCAGGGGTGCAGGCAGGGAAACCTTCAAACTTGAGGGTCCTGGCATCTATTCCAGGAACACTGTCACTGTTCTCCTGTCGTTCAATGATTTGCTCCAGCGGGCACCAGTAATGTCTCACAAGTTGTTGTGAGACTTGTTACTGTTTTTGGCATATTGAATGCCACATGGGTAGCTTACCAGGCTTTGCCATGCGGGTGAGATACTCTCAGTAGTTGCTGGGCTCTCCAAGAGGGGCAGAGGAATCGAACCTGGGTCAGTCACGTGCAAGGCAGACGCCCTACCCGCTGTGCTATTGTTCCAGCCCAATTCAAATATACACACACAAATATGCACAGCCATGGCCACTGCAGTGGTAACTACAAAAGCAGGGTGTAGAAACAGCCCGAGTAAAAGAAGTTGTGGCATCATTACAGCGATGAGTGCTACTCAGCTCTAAGATTAAAGCATGCAGTTTTGCTACAACTTGGGTGGAACTGGAAGGCTTCACTGTTTTGTTTTGATAATTTTTAAATATTGAACCACTACTTCACAGAGCGGGGAGAAAGGGCTGCAAAGTTCAAAAAGAGAACTCCCAGAATGACCACCAACTGGGAACTCTTTGGTACTATTGCGGCAACATGGGAAGATGCCATTGTTGACAACATTGATGAGGAATAGGATCGACTGGTTCAGCACCTCCATGAATGTGCGAGGAACGCCAAGAGAGAGATAGCCACAAAAAGTCGCCTATCTTCGAAAACTCTTGAGCTAATTCGCCAGCGTGGTTTGGCGCATGCCTCAGGCAACCGCAAGCTAACGTCCGAGCTTGCAAAGCAGTGCAGAGATGCGATCAAGGAAGACCTCAAAGAGAGAAGAGCAGAAGTACTGGTAGATGCGGCAGAAGCCGGGAAAAGTATTCGTAAGGCCCGCCTGTCCTTCGCCAACTATAAGACCAAGATGACTGCCCTCCGACGTCCTGATGGATCCATCACATCCTCCAGAACGGCAATGGAGAGGATTATCTATGACTTCTACTCAAATCTCTTCGATAGCCATGTCCACTTGCCAACATACCAAATTCCACAGGATGGGTATGTTGTTCCCAATGTTCTCCCCTCCGAAATCCGACACGCCATTTCGTCGGTAAAGAAACAAACAGCACCCGGCCCAGACAAGGTCAGACCTGAACACCTGAAGAACCTGCCGTCAGTACTCATCAATACACTGGCTCGACTCTTCACTCGCTACCTGTCTGAATGCAAGGTTCCGTCCCAATGGAAAACCAGCAGGACCGTACTACTGTTCAAGAAGGGAGACATCCATGACATTGGCAACTATCGCCCGATCTGCCTATTGTCTGTCATCTACAAGTTGTTCACTCGAGTCATCCTGAATAGGATTGGCAGAACACTAGATGAAGGACAACCATGCGAGCAAGCAGGGTTCCGCAAAGGATTCAGCACCATCGACCATATCCACACAATAACCAAGCTCATTGAGGTTTCTCGGGAGTTCAAGATGCCGCTCTGCTTAACGTTCATTGATTTAAAGAAGGCCTTTGATTCTGTTGAGACGGAAGCGGTCATTGAAGCCCTAGCCAATCAGGGCATTCAAGCCCAATACATCAGGATCCTCCGTGAGCTGTATTGCGGATTCACTACCAGGATCTCACCATTCTACAAAGAAGTGATCGTTGATGTCAAGAGAGGGGTGCGGCAGGGTGATACCATTTCACCGAAACTCTTCAGTGCCACCCTCGAGAACATCATGCGACGACTGGAATGGGAAGGAATGGGAGTGAAGATAGATGGTCGGCAATTACACCACCTCCGCTTTGCTGATGACATTGTTTTAATAACACCAAACATCAGCCAAGCAGCACAAATGCTGGCCGACTTTGACCGTGAGTGTGGAAAGGTAGGACTACAGCTGAATCTTACGAAGACAATGTTTATGAGAAACAGCCTTGTTCCTGACGCCCCATTCGCTCTCAATGGAACGACCATCTCCGAATGCAACAGCTATGTGTACCTAGGTCGAGAGGTCAACATGACAAATGACCTGGCACCCGAGCTGCGCAGGAGGAAGAGAGCGGCTTGGAACGCCTTCAAGAACGTTGAAGAAATAGCTAAGAGGACGAAGAATCTCCGGCTCCGGGCACATCTCTTTGATTCCACTGTTCTTCCTGCATTAACATATGCCTCAGAGACCTGGGCCCTACACAAACAAGATGAGAACGCCATTCAGGTCTCCCAAAGAAGAATAGAAAGAGCTATGCTTGGAATATCACGTTTCACTCAAATGAGAGAAAGAATCCGGAGTTCTGACATCCGTCGACGATCAAGGATCAGGGACGCTGTCTCATTTGCCAAGGTGTCGAAAATGAGATGGGCTGGTCACGTAATGAGATTTAAAGACGACCGTTGGACTAGAGCTGTTACTGATTGGATTCCACGGGATGTCAAGAGACCGCGTGGCCGCCCACCTACCAGATGGTCAGACTTCTTCCTGAAGATCATGAACGATCGGTTTGAGGCCCTTCATGTTCCCGGAGCGAACAGATGCCATTGGGCTACACTAGCACGCGACAGGGACAAATGGAGACGTTACTGGCGCCCGCTCGAGCAAATCGACGACTAACGGGAAGTTAAGTGATTAAGTGATTAAGTGATTGAACCACTGAGATAGACGAAGGCATCAATGATTTTTTAATTTAACTTTTTGGGTTTTGAGCTACACCAGCTGAGCTCAGGAGTCACTCCTGGTAGGACTTGGGTGGGCATATGTGGTGTGTCATGGATGGAACTAGATCAGCTGCATGCAAGTGCCCTACTGACCGAACTCTCTCTCCGGACCTGCAGGCACTGTTTTTAAATAAGTGAGAGGAGAAGCACAGACACCAGATGATCTCACTCCTCTGTGGTGTATATAGAGACGAAACAAGGTAGGCAGATAGCATCAGTGGGCTTGGCCTTGGATTCCAGAGCAGTGGTGACCAAGGAGACTGGGCAGTGGCTGGAGGGCTGGAGGCGACCCTGGGACAGTGGTGGAGGCTATGGGTACTCTGGCGCAGGTGATACATCAAAACCAGGAGCATGAGTGTTACTGCAACTGTTACCTTAACTACAGCAGATACAGTAAGAACATGAATAGAAGCATGTGAATGTGAGGTCTGAGGTCTCAGCTCTTCCTCAGGACAGCCCTTGGAGACACCTAAGGGTGGCTGGAGACCTTCCCATCCAGCTGGTGGCAGACACACGCGCTCAGTCACGAGGCCCTTGGAAAGAGTACTTTATTTCCATGACAAGAGTGCCACACCCAAACTACAGTAGCACAGGACATGATAATACAAAAAAAAAAAAAAAAAAAAACAGATTCCCAGCTCCAAGCCCCGTCCACGTACCCATAGAGGAGACGGCCCCGTGGGCAGGGACTGGCGGGGGCAGCTGCCCCTGCTCCGCTCAGTTTCTTTCTCGAGGATTCGGGGTGAGGAGGGGTACCAGCAGGGTGGCCGTGGCTTCCGGCCCTGCAGCTGGCGTCCTCCTGGGCCCTGCTGGCACATCCTGAAGCAGGAATGCGGCCCACGATCTCCTGGGGGACACTGGCTTCTGGCTGGGGCGGCGGGAGGGCTCCCTGCCACGCCATGTGCCGACACCTGCTCTCCTGGGCGGTGGTCTTCCACGGGGATGGCAGGAGGGTGGGTGACAGGGGGCACAGCAGGTGCCCGGGAAAGCCTACTTGGGAGCGACTCTCGCTTTTCCTTCTGACCAGCTGAGGGACAAGGCGCCTCATCCTCCGCAGTCCACTCCCCACAGCCCCCCTCTGCTCGGCGGCTGAGCTGCAGCGGGCGAGGCCGTCCCTGAGTGTCTCCTGCTCCTCTGGGCGGGGAGGGTTCCCTTCTGGTGAAGTGAGGGAGGTGGCCCAGGCTGCTGAGGTGGGAGGGCACCGGCTTCCCCAGACAGGGGTGGGCTATGCTGAGCACGACCTGGGCGGTTCCTCAAGATGCTGGGGGAGGACGTGTGGCTGTCTTGGCACCCCACCTCATGCCACACGGATGAGGCACAGCTGCCTGGGGCGGGCTGTGTCTCCACTGAGGGGACTGTCCTGGTCCAGCCCAGGGGCTGGGGTGGTTCGGAACGCTGTGCAAGTTCAGGAAGCCGCCCAGACTTTGGGCCTCCAGGAAGGCCACTGGTCCTGAGGCCGGAGCTGCTGGGGGCTGGAGGGGAGCAGGGTGGGTGACGCGAGGAGGGGGGGTATGGCCTTGAGTTCCAATTAGGTCACTTGGGGGCTTGACTGCAGAGGCCACAGGGCCCCTGGGGGCTGGGTGGGGGGAGGGTCTCCTTAGCGGGGAGCCCAAGCCACAGCCTCAGATAAGGCACTGGAGGGTGGGGGCGGGGCTGGAGCTGAGGGTGGATTTCCTGGGGCTGTGGTGCATTTTTACTTCTCCATCCCCTGGGGAAGAGGCTGGGCAAGGCTGACCCCTCAGAGGCTGGGATGGGGGGGTGGCGATGCTGCAGGAGGGCAATGGGGCCCCCAGAGCAGAAAGAAAAGGGCTCAATGAGGCATCTACTGCACAGGGTGGGGGGTGGTGGCGGGGGGTGGGGGGTGGGCAGTGGCCCGGAGGGCTCTGGGTGCCCAGGGCCTACAGACAAGTCACCAGGGCAGGCGTGCCAGTGTGTGGGCCACTCCCCGTGCCAGGCCTCCAGGCTGCCCGGACCCTGGGGGAGCAATGGCAGTGAGGGGAGGGGGCTGGTGGAGCCCAGGGGCCCAGCACTAGATCTGGGGCCTGCTCAAAGCTCAGTTTCAGTCTGATGCGGCCGTGAGGCAGGGGAAAGGGGGGACTGTCAGGGGCTTCCCTTGTCCACAGGTTACTTAGAAAAACAAAACATAATAAATATACCAATTCTTCCCTTTAAAAAAAAAGTGTTTTAAATGTCTTATTTCCCTGAAGATTTCCAGTGTATTCCACAATGTTTAAAAAATAGTTTTCCCCAAAAATATATCTTTAAAACATTTGACACAGTGGCGTCTGTGGTGCTTCTGGCGCTGGATGTGGGCGGGGGCCGTGTCCTGCCCCCCTTGTCGATGTGGGACCCGGTCTGTCCCCCTAGAGCCTGTCAGAGCTGGCACAGGGTCTGGGGGCGACAGGGTCTTTGCGGGGACCAAATCTCAGACGATGCAGAGACCCCCCTCCCGCCTAACCCCGGGCTCTGCTGGCCCCGGGAAGCCTGCCAGTATGGTGGGGGGGTGAGGGGCTGGGCAGCGCCTCACGGTGCCAGCCCCTGTCTTGGCTCTTGCTCACACCTCACCAGACTTCACACTTGTGAGGCGGGTTCATAGGGGAGCCCAGCGGGCAGTGGAAGTGTTCCGAAAACTCCTTGGAGTTGGAGATGGAGCCGATGACCCGGAAGCGGGAAGGGCTGTGAGGGTCCGTGATGAGGCCTTCGTGGGAGCTCTCGGGCGTGCGCACGGAGCACCAGACCTGGGGAGGCATACGCACAAACACACAGACAGATGAACAGACAGACGGACACAGGCAAGGCTGGGGTCACTGCAGGGCCAGGAGATGGGGGGAACGAGCCCTCCCCACCACCCCGACCATCTGGTTCTGAGACCCCCAGGAGGCAGAGGCCCTTATGCCACATAAGGAAGGCCCAGGAAGGGGGTGCTGGTGTGGTTCCTCCCAGGGTCTCCCAACCCGCACCCTTTCCAGCAGAGCAGCGCCCTGCCCTGCCCTGGGCAGGAGATACCATCTGGGTGGCCACCCTGATTTGAAAAGCTGGAATTCAGTCTACATCATTCGCTTCCTGTGCAAAACAAATGACCTAAGGACTGATAGTTCCAGAGCCAACAGGGGCTCTAACTCCAATGTAGGCTGAGAGGCAATCTGGGGCCTCTTGTACTTAAGAAATTTCTAGACACTCACAGCCAGAAGGACCCTTAATGATCACATTGCCTGCCCAACCTTGATGCTGGGCAGAGCCCTGGAGGCTGGCCGGACAGGCCAGGTCAGGGCTGTGCCACTTCCTGGCACTAGGGCATCCTGTACCCACTCAAACCTCTCTCGGGGCCAAGGGTCCTGTCTTGGGACAGGCCAACAGAGTAGGAGGTTATCGATGGCAGGAACCTGCCTCCTGGCCTCTGGGCCCCAGGAGCGCCCACACGGGACAGTGTCTGTGAGCCAGGCTCCCGCCTTCCCCGCTCACCTGTGCAAAGCCCAGGAAGAATAGCTGGTTGTTGGAGAGGCCCAGGGTGGGCAGCGTCTGCTCGGGCCCATTCTTCTTCACCCAGTTCTGGTAGGCCTGGGAGGAGGAGGAGGAGCTCAGGGTGCCGGAGCAGGCGGGGAGGGAAACGGGGGAAGCTGCTCCTGGGGATGGGGGGTGCGCAGCAACAGAGTCCTCGGCTCTGCTGCCCACCTGGCAAGGAGCCCCCTCCTCTCCCGCACTTAGCACCTGTCGCCTCTGCTCTCAGGGGGACATTGGGCTTCTGCTGATGGCCACACTGCCAGCTGCAGCCATCCCGGCCAAACACCCAAGGGGCACCACAAACTTGCACAAGGAGGGAAACAGGCTACATGCATGTGCTCGCACACACACTCAGACATACATGCACACACACTCAGACATACATGCACACACATGAACATACACACATGCATGCACGCAATACAACCATACACATACACTCATACTCTCTCTCTCTCTCTCTCTCTCACATACACACATACACACACACACTTTCTGTGTCACAGCCTAAACCCCAGGACTCTGAGTTTTTTTCTTTGGTGGTGGTGGGAGGCAGGAGAGGGGAGCACGGGTCACTCTTTTTTTTTTTTTTCCCTTTCTGATCACACCCAGCGATGCTCAGGGGACCATATGGGATGCTGGGAATTGAACTCGGGTCAACCGCCTGCAAGGCAAACGCTCTACCCGCTGTGCTATCACTCCAGCCCCATGGATCACTCTTGAAGGTATCAAGAGGCTTTGTGCTCCCTGCTTTGTGCTCGGGCCTCTGCCAGGGCTACTCAGGGATCAGACCCGGGTCTCCTGCATGCAGAACTTGCTCAGCCTGTGAGACATCTCACTGGCCTCTCTGACTCTTTTGATCCAGGCAGATGCCCGGCTCCGACCCCTTCACTGCTCTCCCTCCCCTCCTGCTGGGTCTCCTCAGTGGTCTGCAACAACCTCACAGCACTTTTCTCACTTGTCGCCTGGACCCAAGTGGGTCCAAGTTCAGTTCCCTCCTGACTCCTCCATCTAATTCCTCCTTAATGAAGCAGAGTTGGCAAGCTTCTCCATGAAGAGGCACAGAATAAATACTGTCAAGTTTAGAGGTCAAATTTCCCCCGTGGCCAATGTTCAATTCTAAGGAAACAGCGGGAAACACGGAGAAATCCAAAGGCATGGCTGTATAAGTGCCCCCGAGACCCCAGCCTGTACTGAGCGACCCAGGCTGAGGGTGAGACTTTGTCCATGTGTTTGCTGGCGTTTGTTCATTTCCTTTATTTTTACAGGGTCCAGGTTCAGCAGTGTTTGGGGGGCCAGGGCTAGAAACCGGTCAGGGCCTTGGATATGCAGGGCATGGGCTGGACCACGTGAGCCGCATCCCTAGCTTCTTCAGACCCTGGTCTTTAAATTTTATTTTGGGGGCTGGAGAGGTAGTACAGCAGATAAGGTGCTTGCCTTGCACATGGCTGAGCGGGATTCAATCCCCAGCATCCTATATGGTCCCCTGAGCCTCACCGAGTTGGGTATCTTCGGGTGTGGCCCACAAAAAAATTATTTCTATTTTCAGGTCATTTGGGGGCCTCTCCTGATGATGCCCAGGTGGTGGGTGTAAGGGCTAGAAGCCAGGCCTCCCACACACAGAGCCTGTACTCAGGCCTGCCCTGTTTGGTTTTTGTTTTTGTTTTTGGTTTGTTTTTTGCTTTTTTGAGGGTCACACCCAGTGATGCTCAAGGATTACTCCTGACTTTGCACTCAGGAAGTACTCCTGGCGGTGCTTGGGGGACCATATGAGATGCTGGGAATCGAACCCAGGTCGGCCATGTGCAAGGCAAACGCCCTCCCCACTGTGCTATCGCGCCAGCCCTCTGTCCCCCATTTTAAGATAAACAGGGTCACATCCTTCTTCTGTTTAAAACTGAGCTTCCCCCATACCCCCATAAAGCCAAGTGCCCTGTTCTGGCCGCTCAGACCAGCCGTTCCCCTGGACCCGCGCTCTCTCTACTACACCTGCCTCTGTTCTTGAACGCGTCCAGCTGTGTCCATCTCCCGCCTCTCCGGGTCCAGTTTTCCCTGCCTGGCTCTAGGCATTAGGTCTCGATTTCAAGGCCGGTGCCTCCTAGCTGCGCCCCTCCCCTTCCTTTTCAGGCCCCTGCCCTATGTTCTCTTCAGTAGGCCAAAGCCTGATGTCATCTTATCTCTACAGCTGCTCTCCCTTCCTCCCTTTCTTCCCCCTCCCTGAGCCATCACATCCGCAAGCTTCTGTGGGAATCACTGGTGGCAGTGCCTGGGGGCCACCAGGACCACACCCAGAGAAGCTGGGGAGGGGGAGGGCCCTGTGGTGCTGGGGGTCCAACCCAGGACCTCACATCTGCAAACTCGGTTCTCAGCACTTGGGCAGAATTCCTGTCCGCAGCATAAGCTTTGTGAGACCCAGCATGCCTCAACGTCTCCAGCATGGCCAGCATGGCCTCGGGCCAGTTACCAAATAACTGTCTCTGGGCTCAGTTTCCTCATCTGCAAGATGTGGTTATAAAGAACCCAAGGAGCTGAAAAGGCTGAGTGCAGAGTCAGCATGCTGAGGCCCAGGGTCCCTCCCCGGAAAACCGAGGTCCCCTTACCATCACCAGCGTGGCCCCAAACCCACCCAAAGTGGCCTGTGAGACCTTGTTATAAGGCATCCGGGTACGAGTCAAGCCCAGTGCCAAGAACAGGCAGAGGTGGGGAAGGGCCCCTGCAGTGAGGGCCCTCAGGCACTGCCGCCGCTTCTCCATGGCCTCCTCTGTGGCTCATGTCCACTCAGCCACACCCAGGGGTGCTCAGGGGTGACTCCTGGCTCTGTGCTCAGGATGGTTCCAGGCCATCCCTGCAGTGCGCGGGATGGGACCTCCCACGTGCAATGCCTGCACTCCTCCATGAACATTTCTTGTTCCTTTTGGAGTGGGAGGTCTGGGCCACACGGGGTGGTACTCAGGGAACCAGAGAGGGTGCTGGGGATCCGAACTGTGACTTCAGCTACCTAGTCACGTGGAGGGCATGTGCCTTACCTCCTGTGCCTCTCTCTGGCCCCTCGACTAACACATCTAAAGGCCACTCTGTGCCCAAGTTTCACCCCCTTGACATGCCAATGGCGTGGGGGTCCATAGCCAAGCACACAGAGGCTCTAGGAGGCAGAGGCAGGACCTGAACCAGATGGATCCTGGCCTGGTCTCCCTCCACTCTCGGGCCCTTGGCTGCCTGGATCTGGGTGACTCCATGGCAACGCTAACAAGAGATGGGCCAGGGCCTGAGAGACTGGGCAGCAGGGAAGGGACCTGCTGGGCACACGGCCTACCCAGGATCCAGGTTCCACGGTTCCAGCACACCCCCAGGAGTGACCCCCAAACACAAAGGCAAGAGCAGTGCCCGAACATGGCCAAGTGTGGCCCCCAAACCCCATATTAAAAAAAGAGGAGGCTGGAGCGATAGCACAGCAGGTAGGACATTTGCCTTGCACGCGGCCGACCCAGGTTCGATTCCCAGCATCCCATATAGTTCCCTGAGCACCGCCAGGGATAATTCCTGAGTTCAGAGCCAGGAGTAACCCCTGTGCATCACCAGGTGTGACCCAAAAAGGAAAAAAAAAACCTAAAAGAAAAAAGAAAATCGAACAGATGGATCTTGGGGGTGGGCTGCGGGGGGTTCCCTCCCAAGCCCCTTCCAGTCTCCCATCGGGTCGAACTCCAGAACAGTCTTCTGGGAAGGGGGTCAGGCTTCATGGAGGGGCCCCTCCACGCCACCCATGGGGTTCCTACCCGATAGGCCGCCTTGAGGCCCCCGTTGTCGGCGATGTTCTCCCCGAGCGTGTGCCGCCCATTCACGGGCTCCCCGTTCACGCTGTAGTTGCCGTACTGCTCCACCATGCACTCCGTCTGCTGCTTGAAGGCCTCCACCGACGAGTTCTTCCACCAGGGCCGCAGGTTCCCGTCCTTGTCATACTCCCGTCCTGTGGGGCAGTGAGCGGCAGTGGGACCAAAGTGAGGGGGAGGACGGTGGAACTGGAGCTGGGGTGGGGAGGGGGCTGCCAGGTGGGCCTCTCCCCTATGCTCCATCCTGCAGCCAGCACTCGGGGGGGGGGGGGGGGTGCTGGGCTGGGTCCTTCAGCACCCTAAGGGGTGGGGCCAGAGGAACGAGGAGCAACAAAGGACCAGCACAGGTACAGCTTCGGGAGGGCTGGGTCCACATCAGGGCTGGCTGAGGGCCTCCACACCATGTCCGGGAGCAGTAAATGGGGCCACACGGGACAGCCTCTGGCGTCCTGCCTCTTCCTTCTTGGCCCTGGGGTCCCCAAGGCAGACTAAGGCAAGCAGGCAATGGAGATTCTGGACCTTAGCAGGTACAGGAGGGACAAATGACATTCTTCTAATTGTGGCCCTTGTCGTACTCCTGTCCAGTGGGGGCATGTCCCCCACTGACTGTCCCCACCTCACGCCCAGCCACCAGGCACCTTTCAAGAGCAGGAGATGCCACATGTGATACAGCCGCCACACACGAGCTGGAAGCTCTGGCCCTTTCATGGCTAAGTGGTGTGGGGAGAAATGGTCTCCCGGACTCTCTAAGGCTTATGAATTGGCGGAGGGCAGAGTCTGAATCTGACCCCACAGCCATCTGTCTCCGATGCTAAGTTTCCTGGAAGCAAAGGGACCAAAAGCAGAAGCAACGGGATCAGGAACCCGATGGCCTTATCTGAAGGAGTCCCCAGAAACTGTACCTTGATCGTCAAATGCATGAGTCAGCTCATGGCCCACGACGACACCAATGCCACCAAAATTTAAGGCCCTGGGGTGGAGGACAGGAAAAGGAGGCTGAAGCTGTGACAATGAGGGGGATCACTAATCCCCCAGCACTGGATGCAGCCCCATCCTGTGAGGGGCTGTGGGGATGTGGCTGCAGCCGGAGCTTCCAGTCAGGTTGCAGAAACCTGTAGGAGGCCGGGGAGTGGGCTGGGGCTGGCCTATTCCACGGATGCCAAGCACTGTGCCTGACGCTCCACATAACTGTGCACCATTGTCAGCCCTCTTGGTCATCACAAGAGTCTCTAATATCCATGTAACACATCCTGTCTATCCACCATCTATCCGTCCATCTGTCTATCCATCCACCTATCCATCTGTCCATCCATCCACCTATCCACCCATCCATCTGTCCATCTATTCGTTCATCTTTCCATATCCATACTTATCCATGTATCTATCCTATACCATCCATTCATTTATCCATCCTCCTATACCATCCCATCCATCTACCCTGTGGGAAGCTGGCCCTTTGGCTGACCAGGGGCCTACGTGCCTGTGCTATGTATGGTTGTCTTGGCCCTGGGCAGGCGGGTCCTGACTAGTGCAGATCTGGTACTGTGTCTGCTCTGACCGCAGCCTATGAGCTATGTATGGTTATCTAAAAGAAAACATTTGTCACAGCTAGCCCAAGAATAAGAAGTAACTGACACTGACTAATCAAGCACATGTAGTTTTTGTAACTCTCCTAACAATATATGATATGACCTAGTGATGTAATTGCCTTCTGTGATGTAAGCATAGTTTCCTGCGTTGCAAAGTATATTATACCCCTGCTGCCCTGAATAAAGTCCTGTCCTGTCCTGTCTCTTTATCTCTGTTTCTAAACTGTACTCTGTCTCTTGTGTCTTGTGTCTTCATTCGGTTGGTCCCTCCTTGCACCTATGGATCCTAGGGCCACCTCCACGGGCCGGAGAGTGGTCTGGCGGGGCCCCCCACACTACCCCACATATCCATCTGTCCAATCCTTTCATCCATTGTATCCCATCCCATCCATCCATCCATCCATATCAATCTGTCCATTCATCCATTTAGTCGATCCCATTCATCCCATCTACCCTATCCCATCTATTCATCCATGTATCCATCAACCCATCATCCATCCATCCATCCATCCATCCACCCATCCATCATCCATCCATCCATCCATCCATCCATCTATCCTGAACACCACTTAACTCTTCTTGTTTTTTTTTTTTTTTTGAGCCACATTTGGTGGTACTCAGAGGCTACTCCCAGCAGTGCCTGAGAACCACCTATTGCCAGGAATTAACCCAGGGCCCCTACATGCAAAGTTCATGCTTCTACACCTAAGGTATCACCTCTCCTCCCTGCCCCGCCCCCAAATCCTTAAGTCTACATGAGCCCCAACAGAAGCCAGGAATAAATGAACAAAGCCTTTTTCCGCTCCCCTTTGGGCCACCCCTGGTGCTGTTCAGGGCTGATTCCTGGCTCTGGTCTATGAGCCTTAACCTCTGTATTATCTCTCCAGCACCTTATGAGCAAATTCATAAGTGGATTAAACCAAACCTGAAATGGTTCAATGCTGGAACAGAGCAAATAACAGACTTGGGATTCAAACTCAAGACCGAGGGGTCTGCATTTCAGACAGTGCCCACACCTTTCCCGACTACTCTGCTGCAGCTGTTCTGAAGCCCGGCCAGAGGAATGTTCCCCTCAGGGGCTCCTAGCACCACACTACAACCCCCAGCGCCCGCTGCTGCAGAGACCACAGGATCCAGGTGCCTCTGGAGAAAAGCCCAGGAAGCAAGGCTGCTCCCACAACGATTTCTTGGATAGTCGCAGGTTGCCTGGCCAAAGGGGCTGGGCCAGGGTCAGCATTAGATGGGCAGGAGTGCCAGGAGCTGCGTACTTGGGTGAGGAGCGGGTGTAGAAGGGAGCCTGCAGGATTCCGGCTGGAAACACGATCTCATTCTTGGTGGGTGAGTAGTAGGCATTCACCATGGGTGGGGTCATGCTCCACCTGCAATACACACACGACACCCCAGGGAACCCCCTCAGTCCAGCTGCAAGCATCTCAACCAGACCCTTTAGATCACTCCCGGTGATGCCTGGCCCAGCTCTGTGGGTCAGAAGGTTCCATGCTCGGTGATGTGACATTGCTCAGGGTGGAGCTATTGAAAATATTTATAATGAGGGGCTGAAGAAACAGTACAGCAGGTAAGGCACTTGTCTTGCATGCGCCTCACCCAGGTTTGGCATCCCAGATGGTCCCCTGAGCACCACCAGGAGTGATTCCTGAGTGCAGAGCCAGGAACAACCCCAGAACATTGCTGGGTTTAACCCCAAAACACACACACACACACACACACAACAACAACAACAACAAAAACCCAAAACTACAAACAAAAACCCTAAACTATTTATAATGAATCACTTAATCACTTATAGACACACTCAAGGACAAGAAACCAAATCTAAATGAAAACTCTTAAGCTAAATCAAGAGACTTTAAGTAAATCTTCAAAGTATGCTGGTATCTCTGCCAGGCGTTGGAGATAAAGTTCTCCTTGTGAATTCACAGGAAAAGGAGCCGCTCAAACCCTTACGTTCCACAAGAGGGCGCCAGAGGCAAAGAGATGCTGTTTCCTCCAAGTTAAGATTGATGCAGCTCAAGGCGCACATGAGGGCTGGCTGTTGGCTGACCACACCTGTGTTCTCCGAGAATATCAAAAACAAAACAAAAGAACAACTGGTACTAAGTCACATTCCAGATGAGTCTGATTTACAGAGGTCTGGAAGGCCAAGAAGGTATATACATTAAAAAAAAAAAAAAGGTTCCTTGGAGGATTCAGTGAAGCTTTGACAGCACAGAAGCCTGAGGGTCCCTCCCCAGCCCCTGCCTGGGAGAAGTCCCCGAGAAGCTGATGCTGCATTAGTGGAACGAGGCTGGGAGAGGGGCTGGCTGCTGCCTGGTGCGAGGCTGCCCTGGAGCACCCCTGACCCGGCCACCAGCTCTGCAGACTGCAGTGTGTGTGAGTCACAACACAGGGCCGGGGTGGAGTAGGCGGCAGCTGGGGAGGGCTGCAGATTCACAGTGATGCCAGCTCCTGGGGGGTACCACTTCCTTTCTTTTCTTTGAGGTAAGGAGGCACACCCCATGTGCTCAGGGCTTACTCCTGGCTCTGCGCTCAGGAATCACTCCCGAGGGTGGCTTGGGTAAGCACCCTACCTGTTGTACTCTCTCTGGTCCCAGAGAAGCACCCCCCATGATATTCTCCATTGGGATGTGGGGGTAGCCACGGCTGAGGGCTCTCCCGGCCATTCCCTCCAGCATGTGGTCAGCCCCCCCCCCCCCCCCCGAACCAGGGTGCCCTCCCCACCGGGCCCCCAGGGACTCACTGGTCTCTGTTGGGAGCTTTCCGGAGCTGGTCGGCAGTGACCCTCCAGGAGAAGTTGAAGAACCGCATGGCATTCTCGAAGTAAAGACCTGGCACTGTGGAGTACTGACGAGAGAAACAGAGCGCAGGGGTGAGAGCCGGCCCTGGCCAGGCTAGAGTGAGGGCCAAGAGGCTGGTGGTGGAGCAGACACTAGACGGCGGGGCTTGGGCAGCATCTGGGGCACATCCCCGAAGCCTGCTCCCCATGAGGACTGGACCCTCGCCCCCTCTGCTTCAAGATCATGCTGGAAACCCACACACGGCAGCACTTGGCACTGCAGCCATGCTCAGTGCCGAGACGGGAAGCACGGGCAAAGACCAAGGGAACCAACTCTGCGAGGGTGCTGGGCCCACAGTGGCTGCGTGGGGCCATCACAGCCAACTCCATATAGGCTTTGACTGCTGAGGGAGCTGCCCACTGGACAGCACAGCCCTCCTCCAGCAGGCTCGGGTCTTCCTGGACTTCCTCAGGATGTCTCAGGTCCTGCTTCCACTCGGCCAGCCCCCGGCTCCACCCCACAGCTCTCGGTCAGAGGTCCAGGCAGGCCTGGGCCAGGGGTTCGAGTGGGCTGTGTCCAGGAGGCTCTGACTCTGGAGCCCCCTGAGTGATGCTCCAGGAAACAGACCATAAAATACAGACCAAAGACTGAGTTCCACGTTCTCAGAAATAGTCTTCATATTTGTAGTTTTTTTTCTTTTTTTGGGGGGGGGCAGACCCAGTGATGCTCGGGGGTTACTGCTCGGGGGTTACTCCTGGCTCTGCACTCAGAAATCACTCCCGGTGGTGCTTAGGGGATGCTTAGGGTGCTTAGGATCCCCATGTGGGATGCTGGGGATCAAACCTGAGTCAGCGATGTGTAAGGCAAGCACCCTTCCCACTGTACTATTCGCTCTGGTCCGTATTTGCAGGTTTTAAACAGAACCAGCACGAGAGGTCATGGTAACTGCAAAAGGCTCACAGATCTCAACCACAAGAAGACACAGATGCCGAGATCTTTCGGGGCAAAAGCAGGATCCACACAATGGACTGGTGCAAAAGCTTCGCCACCAGGGAGCCATTCGAAATTAAGACAAAGTATCTACTTGGTGTTTCTGTCTCCTTCCCACGAGCATGTCAAGATGTCTGTGAGCAGCCTGGATTTCTCAGGGAAGGCTGGGGGACCGGGGATAGGATGGCACTCTGGGGCCTGGGAAGGAGGAGGAAATACAAGAGACCCCATTCTCTGCTCTGCTGCCTCGTGTTTTTGGGGCCCACTCTCTGCACCAGACCCACTGCCCCCAACCTGGGCCCCCTCATAAAGAGCAGGGCTGCTTCTGGTGGGGACGGCAGGTGGGGCAGCTGAGGGACCAAGGCTGGGAGTCAGAACAGGGCATTCGACTGGTCAGGAGAGGGCTGAGCAGTGGCCCCTGGACGCATGCGCACCCCTCCCCCCTCTGGGCTGCCAGACCCCAGGATGCCTGACGCTGCTGGCCCCCCACGTCTTGGGCCCCCGCCCACTCTGCTCCCCACAGTGGGGCTTGGAAAGGCCAGGGACGGGGTGGGAGCCACTCACGTCATTGAAGACCTTGTCAAGCTCCTTGGGGTCCATGATGAAGTTGGGGTACCCGATCATGTTGTAGATCGCATCCGCCTGGGCAGGGGTGCCGAGACAGCAAGTGAGTGCCTGCTCAGGTGCTCCTGGGGTCCCGCTCAGCTCTGGAGTGTTCCTCCTCTGGGCGCACCTGACTGTCCTCCCCCCCCACCCCCCCCCCACACACACAAAGGCATCCACTACACCAGCCATGCGGCCACCCATGCTGACTGCACGCCCTGACAAGGCGGCACAGGCCGAGCTCCCCTCTAGCCCAGTCTCCTCTCTCTGTGACCCCTGTTCCTGGCTCTCCCCACCACACCATAGCCCCTGCTTCTCCTTCTGTTGGTGGTCCCCCCATCACCTCTTCTGTGAGGCCTCCTTGCTCTTCCAACCTCTGGGCAAACTGGGCCCTCCACCCAAGCTCCTGTTGGGGGCTCCTGCTTCCCCCCGCCCTTCCAACCCTGGGTGCCCACCTTATCCTTGGCTGCCTTCCGAGTGTCCTCGTCCATCCACTTCAGCGTGTTCAGGCTTTCCTCAAATGCCTTCTTGATCTCCAGGATGATCTCACTGGCCTAAGGATGGACACACACACACACACACACACACACACACACACACATACATACACACACAGAGCAGTGGTCAGGCCACTGCTGGATGACCTTTGTTCTGGCCCCCTGTGCAAGCCAGAATGTGGCACTGGCTCCAGATGCCGGGCCAAAAAGGGTGCAGTGGGGGCTGGAGACATGCACAGCAGGTAGGGTGTTTGCCTTGCACGTGGCCGACCCAAGGTTCGATTCCCAGCATCCCACATGGTCCCCCGAGAACTGCCAGGAGTAATTCCTGAGTGCAGAGCCAGAAGTAACCCCTGTGCATCGCTAGGTGTGACGCAAAAAAAAGGGGGGTGCAGGGGCAGCTGCTGCTGCTCCCAGGGGCAATCATGTCACAGCAGACCCAGAGGTGGCAAATGCTGGAGCAGGAAGCATAGGTATGAGGGCTGTGGGGCCCCACCCCTCTCAGAACTCAGACCGGCACCCCCAGCACTTGCCTGGCCCCTAGGTCACCTCTAACTCATATTAGCACCAAAAACAGCATCAGTAGGACAGCAGCAGCCTGGGAGCCTCCGTATAACCCAGGGGCTCTTTCCATGGGTGTCCCGGCCTCCCCTGCAGCCAACACCCCATTCCACACGACAGGGAAGTGAGACACTGACCCCCAAGGGTCCTGCCAGGAAGGGGTGCACCCAGGAACAAGCCGGGGCCCACCATCACCTTGCCACGGCAGCTCCACCAACAGTCAAGCTGGGCCCTGGGGAGCTGGCAGAGGAGAGGGTTGGGCCAAGGAGGCCACAGGGAGTGTGGACAGAGAGGGCCAGCTAAGGAGGCCATAGGCAGTATGGACAGAGAAGGTGGGCTAGAGGCCACAGGGAGCATGGAGCGGGTCAGTAAGGAGGCCACGGAGAACGTGGACAGAGCAGGCAGGCTAGAGGCCACGGGAGTGCCGACTAAGACATCAGACTAGAGCGGTCACTCACTGTGAGCTGCAGAGAAGGGAGGGGGCGGGAAGGCCAGGGTCCTGGCCTTGGACGGCGCACCAGCTGGTGTGATGTCACAGCCACGTGGCGGGAGGCACTTACTATGTTCTTGCTGTCCTCAGCGAAGGTCGCTTTGACAAACATGGGGCCCAGGGCGAAGCCCAGGTTGTTTTCCGTGTCGCTCACGCAGAACTTCCAGCGGGGAAGGCAGGTCTGGGAGACACGAGCCAAGGTGGTTACCCAGCCCCGGCCCTCTCTAGTGGTCCCCCGCGTCCTTCCAGAACCACAGAGACCTTTCACACGGTCACAATTACTGTTGGTGGACCCGGGGTGGGAGATGAGGACTGTGGCTTCCTGCCGCCATATTCCGTGGCCTGACCATGGGCTCCGAGATCCAGCATTTCACCAAAGGCACCCGCCTATGTTGGGTGGCTGGGGTGAAGGGCCCTAAGGTAAAGCACCTCAGTGCCCTGGAGGCAGAGCTTGTGAATAGAGAAGGGGGCCTGCAATCACCAGCGCCCAGACACGCCCAACATTGGCCCAGGCTCCACCCCCACAGGTCCTGCCTGCCCAAGCAGACATGATTCCTGGAGGCAGAGAATTTAGGGTGTTACTGGGTGGAGGGTGGGGTTCCAAACTTGCTGGGAGCAGTCAGTGTCTGCAGCTCAGTGGACCTCACGTCAGATTCCCTCTTGGCTCTTGGCAGGGCTGCTGGCAGTGGGGGTTCAAGCAAGACTCTCAAATAGAGGGCCCAGGGGGCATGAGACGTGCCCTGCCACATCTGAAGAGGAGGAGCAAGGGCCTGGCTGGGGGTCCACAGCAGGGCCGGGAGGAAGAGCCTTGGGCAGGAGCGAGCCCTGCAGGGTCAGGTGGGCACCCGAAGGTGGTGCAGGCTGCTCCGGATCTGGGAGAGTGGGCACATCAGCGGGCACCTGTGTGGTGCTCCCTGAGCGCTGGGTGCTGCTCTGGGTATTTTCTGGGGAAGTGGGCACTCTTGGACGTGCTTGGGGGCCCATGCAGAGCTGGGACTGGAACCTGGGCCCCCCCACCCACCAACTCTTTTTGGTTTTTGGCTTTGGATCACAGGTGCCAAAATGTATCTCTTTTTCACTCTTGGCTCTGCACTTAGGAATGACTCCTGGTGGGGCTTGGGGAAGCATATGGGATGCTGGGAATGGAACCAGTTTGGCTGCATGCAAGACAAGCGCCCTCCCCACTATTCTATCTCTCTGGCACCCAAACTTTTCTTTTTATACAGGGCCTACTCCTGGGATGCTCAGCCCAGCAGCATGGGCCTGAGGGGTCTGGTGACGCATCTGTGCTGGGCTGGGCTGGGGACACCAGAGTCACACCCACTGGTGTTGGCAATAGAACCCAGAGCCTCACATGTCTGGCATGCGTTTTACCATTTAAGACATATCTCTGGGTGCCTATTCACCCTCATGAACATCTCCTTCTGGAAGCTTCTGTGCCTCAGCAAACTCAGGTCCTCTCCTTCCTGCATGCTCAGGGCCACCGGGTAGACTCTCCAGAGGCTCTGCACACTCTCTGCTTAATGGTGCACCGCGGCCTGCCCAGAACCTGCCTCGCAGCTGGCTCTCAACACCAGGACAGAGACCAGACTCACCTTCTTGGTCCCGTACATGACCTCCATGAACTTCTCGTCGGCATCCTGGAAGCGCTGGTCGAGGAAGGAGCTGGTCTTCCGCACCAGGTTCCAGATCATGTAGTTGTTCAGCAGGCTAGGCCGGGGAAGAGCAGACGGGTTGGCTGGTGTCCGTGCTGGGACGGAGCAACACTTCCCCCACCCACCTCGGGGTGGGGGTGGGGGCGCTCACACCTGGCCCTTTCAGCACCAGGCTCTCGAAACCAGGAAGGTCAAGGCCTTCAAGGCCAGGGCTGGGGTTTTCTGCAGGAAACCTTCAGAATCTGCGGCCGGCTGCTGTGTGTACCTGCTGCTCTGGAAGCCACCGCCAGGTGGCGCTGCCGTCCCCCAGAGCTTGGGAATGTTCTAGACACATGGCCAGAAGCTAGACTGGGACCGGGGAACAGTGTCGGCAAGGTGGGCCCCCAACCCCCTGAGACAGGAAACATATCTGGAGCTCTTGTCACCTGCACAAAGAAGTCGCCTCAGAACAAGGAGATGGCCACTAGGGACATCCAGCCTCGACCTGACCCAGGCTGCAGGTCTGACACCAGAGGCCAGGGTGTGGGTGGCTGTGCCGAGAGACCGTAGGATGCTGCAGACTTATGAAAAATAGGGGCTGGGGGGCTCTGGGTGACTGGGGGCACGAGCTGGGGTAAAGGTCAGAAGGAGACTAGACTTCCAACCACGATGACGAGAAAAAGGGTCAGCCCCGTCCTCCACCCATCTTTTCTCTCTCCCATTCAACCTCCCGGAAGATCGACAGCAGATGATTTGGGGGACAGTTCTGTTTATTGGGGACAATGAAGTCTGGGGTAATTTTAGTTTTTACTACTTTAAAAAAAATGGTCTTAAACTAAATGTCTAAACTAAACTAACTTTGCCGTGTGGGTGATATTTTATATCTTTCATGGGGATGGTTTGTTTTGGGGTCACACCTGTGCTCAAGGGCTCCCCTTGGCTCAGTGCTCGAGGGACTCTATGGAGATGGAGCCAGAGACAGACCCGGAAGAGCTGTGGGCAAGGCGAGTCCATGAGCCCCGCACACTATCTCTGGCCCTTTTTAAAAAGTAAAAAGGTGGGGCTGGAGCGATAGTACAGCAGGTAGGGTGTTTGCCTTGCACGTGGCTGACCTGGGTTCGATTCTCAGCATCCCATAGGGTCCCCCAAGCACCGCCGGGAGTAATTTCTGAGTGCAGAGCCAAGAGAAATCGCTAGGTGTGACCCAAAAAGCAAAAAGGGGTCAGAGGAGGTAGTACAGTGGGTAGGGTGCTTGCCTTGCACACGGGCAAGCCCGGTTCAATCGCCATAACCCTGCAGTGTCTCCTGAGCCCTGCTGAGAGAAAAACCCTGAGCGCAGAGCGGGGAGTAAGCCCTGCACATCACCAGGTGCGACCCCAAAAAACAAACAGAAAGTAGAAAGAAAGATGAAAACGTCAGTTGACATTTACTGAGTCCCATTCTGCATTGGGCAGGCACGACTCGAAAGCCACCCCACGGATGGTCTCACTCAATTCTCCCACCAGTCGGGCCTGTGCTACTCATCATCCCCCCCTCCCTTGGACTGCAGGTGAGGAGACAAGCCTTAGGCCACAGCACCTGGAGACAGAAGGGGCGGGCTGAGAACCTGGCCCAGGGTGGCCCCTGCTGCGTCCCCTGGCCCTTATCTTGCTCACTGGGGCCTCCGCCTCCCCACCCCATGGGAGACCCCCAGAGGCTGCTTGTGGGAGGAGCCCACCCAGGCTGAGGGACACTCACCACTTGTCGGTGTTGTTGATGAGGGTGGACACCTGCCCCAGGTACTCTTTGTCGTAGACCACGATGGGCTCTGACTCGTTGATCTCCACGGGGTGGAAGATGGTGTTGAGGAAGGGCAGCCAGTTGATGGCAGGCGCCAGGGTCTGCAGGATGGGGACAGCATGAGTTGGCCGCTCTCCTCAGAGCCCAGGTCTCCAGGGCGCTCTGAAGAAGGCGCCACGGGACCTCAGCCCTGGGAGAGGCAGAGAGCTGAGTGCAGATGGGCCTTGAGCAGGTGTCGAGAGATACTTTCACCAGAGATGGAGACTATTTTTGGGGGGGGCAGGAGGCTCCCAGAAAGTATCTGGGGCCTTACCCATGACAATTCAATGCACAGACCCGAGTGTACAAAGCCGCACAGGCCCTGCAGTGCCGGGACACCCAGTCCAGCCTGGAGGTGCCGGGGGACCCCAGGACCACACGAGGTGGCACTCGGGTGCCTCTGTGACTCGGATGATGCCCAGGAGACCCTGTGGCGCAAGGAGCTGAACCCAGGTTGGGTGCACACCAGGCACATGGCAGGAATGGAGGGCACAGCACCGCGTCTTGGGGGCAGACTCACTTCATTTCCCACCAAGAGTTGCAAGAGTTTGAGTGGCCTCCTCGTTCTAGGCCTCGTTCCCCCAGAGCTGCTATTATTTTTAGTTATTTCTTGCCCTGTACTTTTAGAGACTGCAGCATTTTTCAGGGTGACATACACTCTGCTAGCGCAGAAGCACCGTCTGGGCCCGTCACGGAGAAAGGGGCCGGGCGTTGGGCAAGCACGCCGTCAGGGATGGCTCACACGTCCCCCGGGAGGCCTCCTGAGCCCACCCACACCAAACTCCACTCTCCATTCCCTTGACAAAGGAAGTCAAGAGATGGAGTACAAATATTTTTCACAGAGCAAAATCAACCACGTAAAACCCACCGGCAATATCAGATGAATCTCTTTTGTGGTTTTTGTTTTGCTTTTCGGCAGAATCCCCAAGGGGCCATGCTCAGCTCTGTGCTCAGGGTTGGCTTCTTGGGACGCTCAGAGGCCCACGCAGTGCTGGGGATCGAGCCAGGGTCAGCCACATGGAAGGCAATGAATGACCTTATTTTCTAAGGGCTTGATTTTCAACATTTGGAGGGCTGGGGTGGGCATGGTGGGAGCCACACTCTGCAGTGCTCAGGGATCACTCCTGGTAGTGCTCAAGGAACTATATGCAGTGCCAGGGACCAAACTCAGGGCTGGCTGAGTGCAAGGCAAGCGCCCTTACCCTATACTCTCTCTCCGGTGCCTTATTTCCAATTTTCACTACTTTTTCCAATGATATTTGATCCGCCCGTGCTAGTTTACAAAGTGAGATCTCCAGGGCTGGAGAAGGCTCAGTGGCCAAAGCACCAGCCAGGTTGGGGGTGGGGAGTATCGAGGCTGGGAGTTCCACCCCAGCCCCACCCTCATGCACTGAGCCAGGCCTTGGTGGTGGAACCCCCACGTCTGAACCAGCATGACTGCCATCAGGCAGGTGTGAGCACTGTGCTGCTGGGTGCGGCCCCAAGTCACCAAGGTGCAACTTACCACTGTCACAATGACAATCATCACAAAGAAAGGGGGAACACGGAACAGAGCGAGTAAGATTTCAGCCCAAGCCCATGTGGGTCAGGTGGACGCTCCCTCCAGGGCACAGGGAGTCTTAATGCTAGAAACAAGCATCACTTGTTTTTTTTTTCTTTTTTTGGGGTGCCAAACCTGGTGGTGCTCCAGGCTTACTCCTGGCTCTGTGCTCTGGGGCCACTCCTGGCAGAAGGCAAACACCCTCTCTTCCCCACTTCCTCCCTCCCTTCCACTTGATTTTTGAGTCACACTCAGTGGTACTCCAGAGACCATGTGGTACAGGGGACTGAATCCAGGCCTCCTGCATGTGAAACACACACCCATACTCCCCAGTCCCACATAACTACTTTCTTCCTTCCTTCCTTCCTTTTTGTCAACGTGCCTGCCCATCTCTCCTGAGGGACACTCTGGAATTTCCAGCCCATTCTCAAAGGATACAGTGACTTAAAAGACCCACAGCCCCCAGCTGGACAGACAGGACAGGCAGGAAGGGGCTTGCCTTGCATGCAGCTGCTTCGGCTAACTTGGGTTTGATCCCTAGCACTGCATATAGTACTCAGAGCTCACCCCTGAGCACTGATGGTTGTGAACCATCCCCACGCCGTTTAAAAACAACAACAACAAAAACAGAGTCCCTGACCATTTCTGTATTCTGGCCCAGGGCGGGTATAAATGAATGAATGACCAAGGAGGGCGACTAGGGCTCAAAGTGGCAGGCTATAAGACCGCTCCAGGTCATGATTTCCTGGCAGGGTTGGGCCACCACACAAGCTGAGGGCTTAGGACATTTCCAGGCTCTGTCTTGGCTAAAATGCCCCCCCACCCCATTTTCACCCCCTGGGCAGCTGGGTGACCAGAGAGAGAAAAAGTCTTTCCTTCTGTGCCTAGAAGAAGGTGGCAGACACAAGCGCACAGGCCTCAGTGCTGTCTGGTCTCTCCAGCCCTGCCCAGTACCAGCCCTGAGCACCAAGCCTTGAGCCCCAGGTGCAGCTCCCTAACCAACCTAACCAACAGAAAAGGGTGAGAGGCCCCTGGGGGCAACGCCTAGCAGCCACAGGAGGCTTTCTTGGCATCGTGGACACTTGGGGGTGCTCTTGTGCTGAGAACTGGGCAGCTGGAGCCAATTACGCTGCACAATAGCATCTCCCTGACCTCCTGGCCTCGGAGTAGAAAAACAGAGCCAGATGGTGCCTGCCAGGCTGTGGATGACCGTAAGAAGCTGCCAGTGGCCCCCCTTCCCTAGTCTCTCCTTCCCTGTCCCCTAGACCAGCATTTCTGGGGACCAGAGCAAGTGGGGGCTGGCACCCAGGAACCCCAGTTGGGAGCCGAGATGTTGGCTGCTCCTCACCGTCAGTCTCACTGTCCCTGGCTTGACCGTGCCCCCCTCCCAGAGTCCCGCTCCTACCAAAACGCCCTGTCAGTGGACGGGGCCGTTTCCACCTCCCCGCACCCCCCCTCGCCCCCCATCACTAGCCTGCGGCTAGTCAAGAGCCAGGCCCCAGGGGCTGGAGCAATAGCACAGTGGGTAGGGCGTTTGCCTTGCACGCGGCCGACCCAGGTTCGATTCCCAGCATCCCATATGGTCCCCTGAGCACCACCAGGAGTCATTCCTGAGTGCATGAGCCAGGAGTAGCCCCTATGCATAGCCGGGTGTGACCCCAAAACAAAAACAAAAAACAAAGAACCAGGCCCCAGGGTGGTCCCGGGTGCCTGCTGGATGGAGGCATGGAGGGAGAAAAGGCAGAGGACAAGGCTGGTCAAAAGGCAGGGGGGAGGGAGGGAGAGATTCCCTTGGAACCTTACTCCAAGGCCTAGAGATGCCCCCATGTGAGGAAGTGAGGCCTGGTCAAGAGTTCCCGGGCAAGAGTAAGAAGCAGGAAGCCAGACCGAGGCCACTTGGGAGCCTGACCCCTGGGAGACGCAGGCACCACACAGCGGGGCCAGAGGAACTGGGGTGACCCGCTGCCCACCAGGGGCCAGCCGACTTTTGGCGGAGTACAACTCTTGTTCTTCAGGGTTATGCCCCAGAGGGTGGCGGAGTTCTCAGCCCGGCCCACTGTGCCTCCAAGGGGTCCCAGGACAGGTGGTCAGGACAGAGCCACCACCTGAGCTGATGTCCGATGTCCATCTCCCCAAGCGCACAGGAGCCTCAAGACCTTGAATGTGTCCCGGGGGAAGACAGAAGACAGGAGAGCCGGCCCTCCCCCTTCCACAGCCTGTCTGGTGCTGGAGAGGTGGGAAGTGTGCCCCCTGCTCCCTCTCCTCACCATGGCAACCCTGTAGGACTGAGCTGTTACCAGAGCACAGTCTGGCAGGGCTGTCATCAGCCCTCTGGGCCTTAGTCTTCCCATCTGTGAGCTGGGTACAACCACCTCCTCCTTCCCCAAAACTTCACTGGGTTGCTCTGAGGACCTGGTGAGTGAATGCCCAACCGCCCCACCCACCTGCCCCTGCCCAGCGCCCTGTGCCACCAAGCCCCGTAGCTGGCCCTGCTCCCAGCCCGCTCACCTGCAGCTCAGCTGCCGTCACTTTGTGGTAGATGAGCTCCTCGTCCCGACGCTTCTCCTGCGGGATGGTGATGTTGGCCAGCGCCGTCTCGAAGTCCAGGATCTGCTGCATCTGAGACCGGATGGCGTCCTCGTCCCCGCCGCCTAGCAGCTTCCCCAGCTGGACCATGTAGTCCAGGTATCCTGTCAGCACCTGTGGGGTCAGGTGCCCCAAAGCGGTCAGTGGCTGCTGGCCACACCCATGCCAGGCACAGGTGTGGGGAGTGAGGAGGCGGCGGGCCCACCCCAGCTGGGAAGCCAGCTGCAAGAATCACTAGGGTGCTGCCCCCCAAGCCCTCCTGTGCTGTCTGGGTTGGTCCCCGCTGTCCCGGATGCTCGTCACAGGGATGTCACCTGCAGGATGGGCCTTTAGTTCCTCAAACACTCTCTTTCTCCCCTGTATCCTGTGGTGCTAAGAAGCAAACCCAGGGCCTCACACACGCCAGGTCTGGGCTTGGTGGCTGAGCCCCAGGCCAGGCCCAGACACAGGCCTTCTGTTGGATAGTTTTGGTTTTTGGGCCACACCCAATGGTGCTTAGGGCTAACTCCTGGCAAGGCTCAGGGGACTCTAAGTGACTGAACTCTCAGGGAACTGAACCCAGGCTGCTCACATACAAGGCAAGTGGTCTGCCCAGAGAACTCTCTCTCCACCCCCACGGCTTTTCTTTTTTAAAATTGGGGTCAGGGGCCGGAGCGATGGCATAGCAGGTAGAGTGTTTGCCTGGCATGCAGCCGACCCGGGTTCAATTCCAGCATCCCGTATGGTCCCCTGAGCACCGCCAGGAGTAAGTGCTAAGTGCAGAGCCAGGAATAACCCCTGTGCACTGTTGGGTGTGACCCAAAGAGAAAAAATAAAAGAAACCAAAGGAGGTCACGTTATTAATCTCAGGGCTACTGTAAGGGAAGCACCTACCCGCTGTGCCATCTCTCTGGCCCAGGAAACAGGCCTTTTGGGCCGCCTGCCTCAACGCACCCCCAGATCTGCGTGTGATCCGGTGTTTTTCTCCACTCACCATTCACTTGCCACAATGTTCCACGAGGGCAGCGTGAATGTCCCCCTCCCCTGCTGGCCCTGGGGACCCCCTGGGCAGGAGCCATGTGGGGTTCTCTGCTTCCGTCTACTGGGCATGTACTGCAGGGGTGGGTGGGATCATGGGTGAGGAAGAGGAAGGCTCCCGCAGAGGCCCCATCACAAGGCAGCCAGGGGTCGCCTGGAGTCCAGTTGGCTCAGCTTCCCCACCGCTGGCTGTGTGGCCCCAGGCAGGCCTCTGGGCGTCTCTGAGTCATATTCCTCCCACTCAGGCAAGGTGAAAGTGACACCCAAGTGACAGTCAAGGGTCAGATGGGATGGATGGGGCAGGTCGCCAACACCTCGCTCTACGGGGCAAACGACACCTGCACCCTGACAACCTTGCTCCCGTGCCCGAGCAAGTCTGGTCACCACCGAGGGGCAGCTGGTGACTTACGAAGGACAGGAGCCTCAGCACGGGGGGTGGGGGGTGGGCGGGAGGGGACAGAGGGTCACAGAGGGGGTTGGGGGACAACCATGGGGGGGGGCGGGGAGAGCGCACTGCTGAGGACGCACTCACCTTCTCATTTTCGGTTTTGTTCAGGTAATAGTCCCGAGAGGGTAAGCCCAGGCCAGACTGGTCCACCTGGAAAAAAAAGTGGGGGTGAGAGGCCCCCCACACCACTCCCACTGCCCAGCAGCAGGGACGGGGGTGGCTGCCCAGGGCCCCAGGGTAGCAGATGCAGCCACTGTGAGGATAGACAGGTCCACCGAGAAGGGAGAAGACACGTGTGGTCAGCTGTAGGGGTACTGGCCAGAGCCGGCCTCCCCTTGACGCTCTCCTCGCTCAGCAAGGCACCTCTGCGGCATCGAACCCTTTCTGAGACAGGGCAGGGGCTATGAGCCATTCACCAGGGTCAGGGACATGACACCCTCAGGGATGAGGCCCTGGGCCGGATCCCTGGCACCACATGGCCCCTGAGCACTGAGAACCCCAAAACAATGGCATTTTTTTTCTTTTGTTTTTTGGGCCATACCAGGCTGTGCTCAGGACTGTAAACTCCTGGCTGTAAATTTGGGAATCATTCCTGGCGGGGGGCTCGGGGGACCTTATGGAATGCCAGGGATCGTTAGCCACATGCAAAGCAAGTGCTCTACCCGCTGTATTATTACTCCAGTCCATTTAAACAACAACAACAAAATGCTACCAGGGGCTGGAGAGCTATACAGCAAGTAGGGTGATCCCTGGCATCCCTTATGGTCCCCTGAGCAATCCCTGAGTGAAGAGCCAGTAGTAAGCCCTGAGCTTACTACTGAGCACAGTCCCATGTGCCCCCTCAATCCCTGCAAAAAGCAAAACCAAAAAACAAAACATAGTAACAATAACAAACACCCACACTCCTGGAGCCGAGGGTGCGGCCTCCCCTGTGGGGAGCAGAGAACTTCCAGCTCATGGGATTCATGGGGAAAATGCAGCTCGGGCTGGCCTGAGGCTCCTGTCCAAGGTCACACGCTAAAGCAGTTGCAGAGATGGGTAGAAATTCATGACCTCAGCCAGGGGCTCTCACTCCTGTGTCTGAGAGTGCGCAGGGGGGTGCTGGGGCTCCCCTGGATATGCTGATGCTATGGGGTGGGGACGTTCGAGGAGGAGACGGACTCCCGAGTCCTTCTAAATGGCCACAAAGATTGGACGCAAAGGCAGGGGTACCAGGAGGAGGGTCCATCTGAATCACAGTTGGCATCACTCTGGGACCAGCGTGACAACACAGCAGAGAAGGGTTTGCCTTGCATGCAGCCAACCCGGGTTTTGATCCCTGAGCACCCCTAGGAGTAATTCCTCAGTGCAGAGCCATGAGAAACCGCTCAGCACCGTAGGATGTGACTCAACAATACCCCCAAAATAAGAGTTGGCATCACTCTTGGGGTCCCTAACAACCAATCAGAATCCTAAGGGTCCATCTGTCCAGCAGTGCCCTGGCCTGCCCCGGTGCTGCAGCTTCTCCCTGTCCCTTCCCCTCCTTCTGCGGATGGTGTTGTGATGATCCATGGTGGCGGTGGCGGGGTGTTTGGCATCAAGTTGGGGGCACGCACACTTGGGTGAGCGGAAACTGTCTGCAGTGCCAGGGAACCACAAGACAAGAGCTGTCGGGCTCAAACAGCAGAGCTGCCAGGATTGTCCTCCACGGGCAACCCTGGGGACTGAACTCAGGGCCTCTTGCCTGCAAGCCGGGTGACTTAGCCGCCGAGCCTACCTCGGCTTCATGACTGGGAGCTGCCAGCAGTAACCCAGCAGAAACAGAAAGCTGTGGCCCCCCGTGTCCCCTGAGGCTGGTGTGTGCCAAATGCCCACCAGGCTGCCAGCTCACGGCCCGTCCTCCCCTCGCAGCCCCAGACCAGCTCACCTGGATCACGTTGCTGTTGGAGTTCTTGGAGTCGGCGCTGACATAGACGGAGAAGAAGGGCGAGGTGCGGTAGTGGGAGGTGACCACCTGCAGGGTGTCCTGGAAGTTGTCCTTGTCCCAGGGCCCTGTGATGTTCCAGCCCCCAAGCTGCAGGGAGGGGAGGGAGGGAGGAAGAAGTCAGGGGCCAGTGAGACAGATTCTGCTTCTGCATCGGCCACTCGGTTTCTCTGAGTCCGATGAGCCAGCGAAAGAGAGGGGGAGTTTTCAGCAGGGGTTTACAGCGCACTGGGGTCCCAGGCAGAATAAAGAGGAATCAGATAGCTGCTCCCTGGGGCTAGGCACAGGGATGGGAGCACAATTTTCCCTGCTCACTCTTTGACGATAGAATCATGTGAATTAAATCCCGATAGATCACATTTACCTGGAAAGAGTACGTATATATTTGGGGGGGTAGGGGTCAGAGGGAGCCACACCCAGTGGTTCTCAGGGGTTACTCCTGGCTCTGCGCTCAAGGATCACTTCTAGCGGGGCCTGGGGGACCACATGGGATGCTGGGGATCAAACCCTGGTCAGTCTAGTGCAAGGCAAATGCCCTGCCTGTGGTACTATCACTCCAGTCCCAGGCGTGTACGTCTCAGAAGGGCTGTAAGTTAGGGCCTGCTTTGGTTTTTCTCCGAGTTGGGGTTTTATTTCAACTTCTTGGTCTTCCCTAGTTTTGGGTTCATGTGGGACGTTGTGGGGCTTGTGCCAAAGCAATGGGAATGGTGTGGGTCGTGTGGCCTGGGAACAGCCCAAGAGGAAAGACACCTCCCCTGTAGGGGAAAGGGGAGGATGAGGTGGGGGCTCGCCTCACTAGGTGCCTTTGAATCTTGACCAAGACTTTCTGCTGGTCCTTCTGGAATGTGCCCTCACCCCCTCTCAGACACAAACTCATCCTCTAAGGAAGAGGAAGCAACAACACAGAGGAACCCATTCCCTGTAAGGACAGGCCCTGTCCCATACAGAGGCATGGGTGAAAGCGTGCACACACATGTGTACATGCACACACACACACAAGGACCCTTTCCAGATGTATGCATACATGGTACATACAGACACACACACACAAACACTCACATGTACACACATGCACACACACATACACACACACACACCCCTCCAGATGTATGCATAATAGCACACAGACACAGACAGCCCATTGCACAGACAGGCAGACTGTACCATCCCACCGTCAAGGTGATCGGAGGGAGAAGTGGCCAGGTTCCGGGACTCCCAAGAACTGGGGAGCAGGGCGAGGAGGGGGACACTGGCACGGGCCGCAGATCTGGGAGAAGCTCACCCGCTCGATCAGCTCCATCAGGGGCTTGGCCTTGAGCTCCTCGATCCTGGTCTCGTTCATACACGCGTGGTAGTACACCTGAGCCTTCCTTTCTGCCTCGCTCACACTAGCTGTGGAGTTCTCTGGAATGACAAGAGACGGGGCTTGGCTGGGAGCGCTCACCCTGATTTTATGGGGGGAAGAGTTTGCTGCTCCCCGCTTGGCCCCCCTGGCTAAGTAGGAGAAGCATCCACAGGAGGACAGCCTGTGCTCCTCGCCAGCCAGCAGATGGCCACGCGCCCTGCGGCTCTGTGCGACAGACACCTGCCTGGGCTCCCGATGAGCTCTGACACCTGGACAGAGATGGAGGGAAGCAGCAAAGAACCTACACGGTCCTTACCAATGGACTCTCCACTTCCTCCTCCGAGGGACCAGGGGCCTTCATCGGGCTGTGAGTTGCATCTCCTGCCAAGCCCGTGGCACCTCTCCCTCTCCCTCACCAGGACTCCAGGAGGACTCGTAGGCCCCATCCTCCTGCCCTCGGTGCCCTGGCGAGCCAACAAGTCAGGTAAAAGGGACCAGTTACATGGTGAGGGGGGAAATGGACCTTCTGCGGTGAACTCGGCTTGCTATCGACAGCTGCAGATTTGTAATGATACACATCTGGGACGTGGATAGTGTGGCTTCAGGTAAAGCTATGAAGGGTCAGGGGAGATAATACAGCGAGGAAGGCATTTGCCTTGCATATGATCAATGCTGGTTCAATCCCTGGCACCACGCTTGGTCGTCAAGTCCTGCTAGAAATGCTCCCTGAGCACAGAACCAGGAGTAAGCCCTGAGCACCACCAGGTGTGCCAACAGCCCTCCCCCCCACTACCCCCACCACCGCCAAGAGCACAGCACTCCACATGCACACAAGCCTGGCGCTTCCTATCCTGCTTCCTGGGACCCAAATGCTCAAAGGATCTGTGTGCCTGAATCTGCAGCTCCCTCAATCCCACCTGCTCCATGCGCTCCCCCCGGGCTAACTCCCTACCTGGGACTCTCCGTGGCTCCCTGTTTGTTCCTCCTTCCTTCGAAGACCTCTCTCTCTCTCTCTCTCTCTGTCTCTCTCTCCCTCTCTCCTCCTTCCCTCCCTCCCTCTCCTCCCTGCTTGTTTATTTTCTCTATGAACCTCACAGGAGCTGGAACGATAGCAGTTAGGGTGTTTGCCTTACACGCAGCCGACTCAGGTTCTAGTCTTCTGTCCCTCTCAGCAAGCTACTGAAGAGTATCCCGCATAATGGAACCTGGCAAGCTCCCCGTGGCCTATTCCGTATGCCAAAAACAGTAACAACAAGTCTCACAATGGAGACATTACTGGTGCCCGCTCGAGCAAATCGATGAACAACGGGAGGACAGTGTCGTGCTACAGTGCTATGAACCTCACAAGTAAAATCAGACAGCAACTGTCTTTCCCTGAGACCCTCTGTCCAGGAGGCCTCTTCTGAGATGTTCGTGGAATCCCTCACACTGAGCAACTCTGGGTACCATGTGGGCTGCACTCACAGTTTGTGGACTCTCCACTTCCTCCTCCAAGGGACCAGGGGCCTTCCCCCTACCCCCAAGGAACTTGTGGCCCAACAGTGACATATACACACAGAGAAGACCAAAGGTACCCAGGGGCTTTGATCTGGGAAAATGGGGAAATTTGGTTTCAGAACCAAAGATAAGTTGCACCCCTGGATGGGTTGGGTTGGGTGGTCTCCAGAGGATGTTCTCTTCAAGATGAAGTTATTCAGGCAGAAGTGACAGAAAAGAACACTGGGTTTGGGAGAGTGAAGAAAAGCAAGGAAGTCCAAAGGGACACACTGTTTGGAGAAAAGAAATCTGTTTGGCATAACCAGTCCATACAAAAGGTACGAGTCATTTCCTGGCCAGCCTAATCGGCTCTTGCAGCCAACATCCTGAGAGCCAGCCTGCTGGCCCACGTCTCCCCACAAACAGCATCGTGGGGGGCCGGAGCAAATGTCTAGAGGGTAAGACCTTGTCTTGCATGCGACTGACCAGGGTTCAATCCCCAGCATCCCATGTGGTCCCCTGAGCACCGCCAGGAATGATTTCTGAGCACAGAAGCCAGGAATAATCCCTGAGCATCACTGGGTACAACCCAACAACCCCCAAACAAACGAACACTAAATCCCAGCATCCTGACTACCACTGGTCAGAGAGCAGAAGTCCCCAGGCCAGCTGAAGGCAGGGGCATGGCTCTGAAGAGGAGACAGGACAGGCCTGAAGCCAGTCTGACGGGTGACAAAGAGATTGCTATCCGGGATCTGAGTGATGGGAGTCAGGCTCCGGGGTTGCCACACACTGAACACACTTGAGTGTCCCTGGCTCTCTATAAAGGGGGCTCCCAGCACAGGGCCGGAATGGGGCGCATGGGGACCCCTCCCTGCTCCTCAGCCCCGGGAGGGGAAGCACATGGAAGCCCAGCAACGGGGCCGCACCCAGCAGCCAGGTTCCCGGCAGGAAAGGCCATGAGCCATCGGAGCCAGCCAGAGCCGGCTCTTCATTGTCCATGCTGGACCCCAACAGACAAGCAAGGCAGGGGAGTGGGGGAGAAGCCAAGAAGGAGTGAGGGGGGAACTGCACGGGAGATCTGGGGCCTGCCACCCCTGCTCCCCTCTAGGGCCCTCCCACGTCAGCCTGACACCCCCCTCCCCAAAACCTCCCCAACTCACTGAATTCAGAGTTTTGGCGTAAAAGTGCCACTCCATCTTTTCCCGACTCCTGGGCCTTCAGTGGTCTCTTTCTGGCCCCATATCCTGCTAATTTTTCAAAGCTTCAACATTATTTTTTAAAATTTAACTTTATTTTATTTGGGGGGAGGGTGTTTACTCTGCTATTTGTTTACTCTGCTTCTCCTGCTGGAGCGATAGCACAGCGGGTAGGGCGTTTGCCTTGCACACGGCCCATGCAGCCGACCAAGTTCAATTCCTCCGCCCCTCTCGGAGAGCCCGGCAAGCTACCGAGAGTATCTCGCCTTCACGGCAAAGCCTGGCAAGCTCCCCGTGACGTATTCAATATGCCAAACACAGTAACAACAAGTCTCACAATGGAGACGTTACTGGGCCTGCTTGAACAAATTGATGAACAACAGGAGGACAGTGCTACAGTGCTACAGTGTTCCTGCTGGAATGTGTAAGAAGAAATGAGTATCTTTGGTTTTGATTTTGGTTCTGGTTTTAGTGGTGGTGCTCAGTGTGGCTGCTCCTGGCAGTGCTCATTGGGCCACTCAGTGCCAGGAATCAAACCCAGGTCTCCAGCAGGCAAAGACTGCACCTGAGTCCTCTGCATCATCTCCCCAGCCCGAGAAGAAAGCCAATCTTAAGTCTGACACCACCCCTGGACTCAGTGTACCACATACACTACAAGTCTGTCAAATGAATGAACAGATGGAATGTTCTAGGAGCTCCCCAGAGAAAAGATGGCAGTCACTGGAGTCTGAGGGAGAGGGCACGGCCACCAAATGAACCTGGCAGCACTTTTCCCACTGGGAAAAGCTTAGTCTCCTTTAAGATCCTCCAAGTTGCACCCTCCTTCCCGAAGGTTCCACGGGATGCACAGAGAGGAACTAACAGAGAGGCTTCAGGGCTGAGCTGGGGGTCATGTTTTGAAGACATTTTGGACATGGCAGTTTGAAAATAACTTGGCAGCCCTGGGTCCAGACAGCACAGCTCCCAACTGCCTGGGCACTTCCTTCCAGGGACCCTGCGTTCCAGAAACTTCCTCAGTCACTTCCCCACACTCTCAGCGAGGAAAGACAGCACACCACTTAATCAGCCCGCTTCTTCCTCTGGGAGTTTTTACTAGAACACACTCTCCCCTGGCGCTCCCTGGGCGGAAATGAACGCCCAGGCGGCAGGGCAGGGTGGTGAGGAGGGGGCTTCTGAATGCTGCAGTCAGGAGCACTGGTGGGCTGGTCCAGCTCCCCGCCAGGGCAGGCCCCGCGTTTGTTTTAGATAAATGAGTCGGTGGTTGATTTCCTTCAGTGACAGGCCTCAGAGACCTCACCCTGTGAGGGGAAGTGAACAGCAGATAAAGGAGGCGCCCTCTTGGGCAGAAGAACAAAAAATGACGACAGCACCCCTGTTCCAGGGGGCCTACCGCAGGCCAGGCCTGAGGCTGACACTAGTACCCCACTTCCTTTCTCGACAAGAGTCCAGATGCTTTTCTGCTTGAGGGGTGCAGTGTGACCATATCACACTCGCCACCACAATGTCAACATCCCTCACGACTGTCTATCGATCACCCCCACCCCCTAACTGACTTAGGCTAACTTCAGTTATCTTTGGAGTCCAAGGGCTTTGCCCATTCCCATGGTTTGCCGTTTTGTTTGTTTTTGTTCTGGGCCACACCTGGTGATGTTGGGGGCTCTGTGTTGGGGGACCATGTATGGTACTAGGAACTGAGCTGGGCTGAGTCACACACAAGGCGGGTGGCACCACGACTCCTGTACTATCTCTCCGACCCCTTCCTTTGTTTCTTTAATGCCATCGATGAGATCATCCAGTGTTTGTCCTTTTCATTTTGACTGATTTTCCTTAAAATGACAATCTCTCATTCCATCGATGTTAAAAAAAAAAAGGCAAGATTTTATCTTTTCTTATAGCCAAATAGTAGTCCATTGTGTATAGATACCACAATTTCCCTCTTTTGTGTGTGTGTGTGTGTGTGTGTGTGTGTGTGTGTGTGGTTTTGTTTTGGTTTTAGCCTATACCCAGTGATGCTCAGGGATACTCCTGGCTCTGAGTTCAGGGGTTACTCATGGCATGCTTGGGGAACCATATGCAGTGCTGAGAGTTAAACCCAGGTTGGTGGTACGCAAGGCAACCCTAACGTTTACTGGTCCAAAATAACCACGATGTCTTTATCCATTCTTCCATCACTGGGCACTCTGGCTGTTTCCAGCTCTGGTCTATAGTACATAGCACTGCTACAATCATACATGTGCTCATGTTGTTTTTGTGGGGGTTCTCGGGATATATACTAAAGTGTGGAATTACTGGGTCACAGGAAGTTCTATCTTCATTTTCTTTAGTTGTTGTTTCTATGTTTATGGCTTTCGAGTCAGGACTTAACTCTTGGCTCTGTGCTCAGA